AAATTTTAAAAAAAATTGTTAAAAAAAATAATAAAGCTTCAGCTGATATAATACAAAAGAAATTTTCAGCAACAACTAATCAAGATATTTGTACCAAAACAATTTGGAAGAATTTGCATCAAATTGGATACAATTCTTATTGAGCTGCAAAAAAACCATTTTTAAATGAAAATCAACGCTAAAAACAGCTAGAATAGTGCTTTGAAAGATAAAATTGGACAGTATAATAATAGATAAATGTCATATAGAGCGACAAATCAAAGTTTACTCTTTTTCGTAATGATAGTCCTTCTCGAGTTTGGCGTGAACCAGGCACTCGTTTTAATATTGAAAACCTGAATCCATCCATTAAACATGGTGATGGCGGAGTCATGGTTTGGGAATGTTTTTCAGGCAAAGGATTGGATCCTTTAATGAAAATAGAAGGAATAATCAATCGGCATGATTATATAAAAATCTTAGATGATAACCTGTTACCATTTATTGATTCAAAGTTTTATAATTGATTTTACAAATTTTAACACGATAATGCATCCATTCACACAGCTAATTATGTTAAAACATGGGTTGCTAAAAAAAAATTAAAATTTTAATTAACTGGCCTGCTCAATCTCCGGATTTGAATCCCATTGAGCATCTTTGGGATCATCTTGAACGTTTGTTGTATAACCGTTCGGATCTGCCTAAAAAACTTGCAGATTTAGAAGTGCAACTAAAAGAAGAATAGAAAAAATTCTGCAAGAAACTTACCTAAAATTAATTAATAGTATGCCTCAAAGAATAGAAGCATGTATTGCCAATAATGGTTGGCCAACTAGATATTAATATTTTGTTAAAAAAAAACAATAATAAACTATTTTTTTGCACAAATTTATTTACTATTTTTTCAAAACTGCGCAAACTTATTTCCAGGTAGTGTAAGTAAAGTATAATTCAACACCACTTACATCGATCTATTTAGTGTTATTTTTTATATGACTACCAAATCCAAAGACTTTCCAGTCTGTATACATTTCGTTGACCTTTTTCTGTATATCTTGAATCATCACAATCATTTGAGTCTGCACATTATAAATATTACTAATTGTTGAAGCAAATCCTAGAAGAAATATGATTAATTTATATAAAGCGATTGTAATTAAGAGCAATGATCAATGAACTTAACTTACAATTCCTCTTTTGCATATCTATATCTTCATTTTCTATATCATTAATCTCATTAACTTTTCGTTTACAATTAGAATTTGCCATTTCGTTTTCTAAAGTAAAATCGTCGACAAGAATCTCATCATTATTTGGAAGATAGCCTTCCAGATTAGATAAAGCATCACCATCGTCAAACAGATCCAAACAGTTTTCTATATTCACATCTTTGGTAATCCGTTTATCTAAACCTATATTGATAGTAGAACTTTTTGTGATTCTTGAGATATTTAGGGTATTCAGGATCTTCAGAGTACTCAATACATTTGAGATATTTGTTGGTCTCTTTGAAAGTTCAATATGAGGCAAAATATGTTGAGCACTTTTGCGTGTTAAGGTGGATAATGCTCATTTTTTAGTACAGCCCATATTTAAAACAAGTCAATTTATAAGTATTTCTTTGAATTTTTTTATCTGAATTTTTATTATATGATAAAGAAATGAAAAGGTTGAACAGGACAAATAATTAGAAAAGAAAAGAAAAAGAGTTTAACAAGAAAGACAATGAAAAGCTTAATCTAATTTATCTTTTATAATAATGGTGAAATCGTATATGGTAAAATAAAAAGTTTGATTTAATTAATGATGTAGTTTAATAATAAATTCAAAGTTAAATTATTTAAAATAATAAACATTGTTAATTTAACTACAAATATGCATAACATTGGAAAAGTTGTTTGAAATAAATTTCATTGA